TCAAAACAAGCCAGAGGTTGTCTCTGTCCCATGTGGCCACCACCCCAGGGACTTGATGCAATCTGGAGAGCTGTTTATAACCCAGCATTTGTGCCTTTAGATGCGACTGCTTGGCCACTGCTGTAGTAGGACAAGGCTCTCATGTCATCCATGGACAACTTTGCTGGCAATAAGGGTCTAACTGTGAAGTGGGTGCTTGGCTGCTTTACCAGGGCACTACTTCTCCAGAGCTTAGCTTGGTGGGAGGAAAAACAAGTAGGGAGTTATTGGGCTTAAAGCAGGGCGGCTGGAGAGGTGGAGGAAGAGCCACAGGATACCTGCTCCAGGACAAGATCCTTCTTTGGGGGAGCCGGCTCTGTCACAGCGAGGTGGCTCAGAAATCTCTGCATCTCCACCAGGTTGGGCAGCTGGTCAATGAGGACATCTGTCAGGAACACACGGAGCTGTGGTGACAGAGGAGAAGAGTGAACGGAAAGAAGTCAAGACAAGGGAGCCAGAGCTGGGGAAGCAGCATGGGAAGAGCAAGGGATCTGTGGGGCACCAGCAGAGCAACCCATGGGGGTCCCACATGATGCACTCACAAACACAAGCTTTGCTGCTGCTGGCATGGTGACAGACCCCCCTGCTCTCCCACCACTGGCTGCTAGAAGCCCACGGCAAGGATGGGGAGAGATGCCCGGAGCTGCCTAATGCTGGAAAGGTCCTACTCTGTGCTGCAGGGCCCACAGCCTTCGTGGTGTAGGGTCCTACCTTGAGGAGCTGGCTCTTGTTGAAGCCATCAAAGTGGTATTTGCGCTGGCATTCAGGGCTGAGCAGAAGGTTGAGGAGGGCAAGCCACACCTGCCCATCGAGTTTGGTCATTTTCATCTGGTCTTCAGGGGGCACCACATGCCACGCGCCATTCTCAAACTTCTTGAGCTTGCCTGAAGGGCAGAACAACATGCAGCTCCAGGGAGAGACAGCGCTGCCCGAAGGAGGACAGCTCTTGGCCATGAGTGTAGAGCACTGGCAAACGGTGGGGGAGCCCATGCTGCAGCAACAGAGTGGCTGGAGAGGAGTGTTTTGGGGCATTAACATGGCCAATACCTGCTCTTCTGGAGGTTCTTCTGCCAGTGAAAACATGAATACAACAGAAGTGACAAAACAAGCTCCAGCAGCTACTGTGCTGCTGGGGGGATGGAGGAGGATGTAACCCTGCATCTGCACAGCCTGGAAATGCCTTTGCACTCTGGTTTCTTTCCAGTCTCTCCCCCAGGGCCCTGGATCAAAGCTCCCTCTGACACCCCGAGCACACAGGCAGAAAAAAGGGACGCATTTCCTGGCCGGAGGAAGGAGGAAAGCTCCCACATCCAGCTGGGCTCCTCTCGGCAGGCACAGAGCCACGTGCTTCCCAGCATCTTTTCCTCCCTCCCCTGCCCGCACCGTGACCCCCGTGGTGCCGGGCTGGGGAGGGGAGCACGGGTTCCCACGCCCCAGGCTGTGCCCCCCCAGTGCTCAGAGGAGGGGGGGGGGGGCGGGGGGCATGCCTGTCTGCAGAGGTGCGGGAGGCAGTGCTGACAGTGCAGGCGATGGCCAATGGGCACAACCTGATCGGAGGCCATTGGCAAGAGCGAAGCTCAATGACCAGCAGCTCCAGGGCAGTCTGTTTGCTGCCGGGGAGAGCTCATGTCTGGCTCCAGCTCCCAGCGCTGGCCCAGAAAGGTGCAGAGAGGCTGAGACTGGCACTCTGGTCTTTCTGTGTCCAGGACAAGGCTTCTCAGTGGAGCAGGTGGGGCTGG